CATTGCTGCCCCCGCCCCCCCCCCCCCCATGGAGACCCTGCCAGGCCCCCTCTCATGTATTCCTGCCCCTCCGCCAAAAAATTGCTCTTCTCGTTCACATTTGGAGCATGCTCATGTCCCCCACTCCCAACCCCGGCACATGAAAACAATTATTCTCTCTTCTAAAAGACTTCTCCCAAAACTGTCCCCATTGAGCGATCCTGCCACATATTACGGCAACCTGCTGAGGACGCCCCCATCCTCCCCCCCCACGAAATTCCACAATGACATCCCCAGCCCAGACGCTATATCTCTGACACACAACGGGGGCGACCCTCCGAGGACTTCTTCAGACATCCCGCTCCAGAGATCAGGACCCCACTCAGCCGACAGCTGCCTCCCGCCTCCATAAAAAAAAGTGCTTTCCCGGAGACCCCACACAGAAGGGCTGTGTCACACAGGTGGCGACCCTATGAGTCCCTCTCCAGACATTCCTGACCCCTTCTCACAAGCAAAGTATTTCCCTGCAGACCATCCTCAGAGCCACCACCACACCCACTCCCGCACCCCCAGGCTCGCACCCAGAAAGACCTCACCCCCCAGAAGCATCTCCGGGCCCCCACTCGCGGCCAACCCGCCCCAGGGCGATCTCGAGGCGTCCCTCCTCCGCAGGAAAAAAGAGGGGAGAGTCCAGCAGAACTCCCCACACTTCACCCTGCCCCCGCGGGAAGGTGGGGATACCACCTCTCCCAATACTCCTTACCAAACCTGCCACTCCCGACCCTGGGCTGGGACCATCTCTCATCTCCCATCTCCTAGGACAGGATCTAGGTGCAGGCTCAGGGAGCCCATGAAGATGATCTACAAATTGAATGAGCCCCTTCCCCAGCCATAATCTCTCCTGATTTAAAGGAGACTATTATTATTTACATTGCCCGGAAGGGAAACAGGTTGCGCAGCAACAATCCGAGAGGTTGGGTCTCGAACCGAGGGATTTGGAGCTCTGAGTCGAACCCAGCCAGACGGAACTAGGACACCTCCGGGGACCAGGACGCGAAGTGGCGGTACGTGCAGACAGGAAGCCGTCTCTGCCCACAACCAAGATGGCGAAAGAGAGAGCGGATGTTTCCGCACTTCGGGCTGCCAAGGCCTCTCTTTCTCTCCTGGCGGCCCAGCTCTCAATGATGGCAGTGGTCACGTGACGGGGGCGGGGGTGACGGCTCGTTTTGCACCTCTTGGAGGGAACCAGCTTCCCAGGCCGAGAGGAGAGGGGGCTCGGCTTCGGGCGGGTGAGGGGCGTGACATGTCGCTCGAAGATCCGTTTTTTGTAGTCCAAGGGTGAGTGACAGCGATGGGGGAGGACAGAGGGTGTGCTGTCCCCCTGCCAGCCAGTGCCCGCGTGCCAGCCGGAGCATGTCAGGCATTCTGGGCACCGCCGTCGGGATCGCCCCGTGGCCGTGTGGGAGGGGTACGCAGTGGGATATGAGGGTGTCCTGAGTCCCCAGCTCGTTTGGGGGCGCAGTGGTGGGAGGGAGGACCGCTTGCCCCCAGCCGTGCCCGCTGTGCCCCTGCCCGCAGCGAGGTGCAGAAGGCGGTGAACACGGCCCGCGGGCTTTACCAGCGGTGGTGCGAGCTTCTGCATGAGGGCGCGGCGGTCGGACGCGAGGAGCTGGACTGGACGACCAATAAGCTGCGGAATGGCCTGCGCAGCATCGAGTGGGACCTCGAGGACCTGGAGGAGACCATCGATATCCTGGGTGGGGGGCGGCATGGGAGAGCCCATTGAAGTGGCAGTGGGCCGTGGGAGCCAGCCCTCAGGGAGGCTAGGAGGTGTTTGAGGGCTTTGAGGCAGAGGAGGGCGTTCTGTCGGGCTCTGGCCTTGACTCTTGACTCGCGGCTTACGCATAGTGGAAGCCAACCCAGGCAAGTTCAAGCTCCCAGCCGGAGACCTGCAGGAGAGAAAGGTGTTTGTGGAGAGGATGCGGGAAGCAGTCCAGGTGAAGAGAGTTTCCAGTGGGGTGAGGGTGGGGAGGTTGGGGTATCATTACTCTCTGATGCTGTCCTTACCCCTAGGAAATGAAGGACCATATGGTCAGCCCCGCAGCCATAGCCTTCATGGAGAGGAATAATAGAGAGGTAAAGGCATCCCGACCCAGTATCCTCACCCCCTGTCTCTCGGGGTGACCCTCCCCTTGGAGTGCAAGCCACCCTCTGTGTCAGTGCTCATCTTCTCTGTGCACAGTTGTCTCCATGCTGTCTACCCGCCTGCTCTTTCTGGATGTGTACACATGAGCTCCTTCTGTGTGTATAATCTCTTCTGCCTTCTCCTGTGGGTCTATACTGGTTTCCTGTGTGTGTGTGGGGTGGCCTATCTCCTTTTTTTTTTTTTTTTAACTCTCTTTTACTGTTTTCAGGATTTGATGCTCATCTTTTTAAGCTGTGTATGCACTTGACCTCTCTGAACTTGACCTCTGAGTGGATCCCCACCTGCCTTGTGCATGCACACCATTTTCCTCTGTGGGTGTGCTTGCCCTATGTGTGCACCCACTCATGCCTTTTGTGCGCATTCTCTCTGCTGCCCCTGTCTGTACACCTTTTCCCTCTATGTTGTGTGTTCATTCTTGCATGTTGTAAACAGCAGCCTCACCCATTAAACCCACATGGGGTCTGGGAGGGTGGAGGGCTGAGGTCTGCAGCAGCTTGGAGTCCTATAGCAGGGTCCACATGCCTTCCATGTGTGCTGCTTTGGGTATTAAAGTTCAATTCTTAAATACATGTGTTTATAGGATAATAAGTGTTCTCCCTGGATTAATTCATTAAATCCTTATTCCATCCTCAGGAAACAGGAATTATAGCTCTCCCCATTTTACAGATGAGGAAACTGAGGCACAGGGAAGTCAAGTGATATGGCCTCGGGGTCACCTTGCTAGTAAGTGGTGGCTCTGAGGAACCCAGGCCGTCCCACTCCAGAGACTGCTTTCCTGACAAACCACCATCTAAATTTGCCACAAACCTTGTCTGTCTCTGCTGTGAGTAGGCGACCCTCCCTGAGCCTGTGGTCTTGGCCTCCACAGACGCTGACAGGCAAGCCAGCCACCCTGAAGTCATCCAGCGACTTGCTGGATGCCAGTGTGGTCTCAACCACCTCTCGCTACATTGAAGAGCAGCAGGCCACACAGCAGGTGTGTGTGGGTGGCTGGAGGAGCCTTCAGGCAGCTCAGGGCTCCCTGCTGACCGCAGTTCCCACCCCTCCAACCTGCAGCTGATCATGGACCAGCAGGACCAACAGCTGGAAATGGTGTCTGGGAGTATCCAGGTTCTGAAACACATGTCTGGCCGCGTCGGGGAGGAGCTAAATGAGCAGGGCATGTGAGGCCAGGACCCCGGGGGTGGGCCAGGAACACTTGGCCGGCTGCACTGGTGTGCACAGACCCTCCAGGGGCTGATAACATCCTGATCTCAGCAGTATGCTGGACACCTTTGTTCATGAGATGGACCACACCCAGTCCTGGATGGATGGGATCCTCAGGAAGATGGCCAAAGTATCCCACATGACCAGTGGTGAGTCCCGTGGAGGCGTGGGGGGGGGGGCAATCGGGGGGGGGGGGGGGGGGGTGGGGAGGGTGGCAATTCGGCAGTGGGGGGACGGGGTTGTGGGTGGTGCTGCCTCCCCTCTGTGAACTCTGACCCTCTTGCGCCCAGACCGCCGACAGTGGTGTGCCATTGTGTTGCTGCTGGGGGTGCTTCTCCTGGCCCTCATCCTGTTCTTCTCTCTCTGATCCTAGTCCTCCCCAGGAAGCTGGTCCCTCCAGCTGGGGGGGCCAGCAGAGCCTTGCCCCCTGGGAGGAGGGGGATCATGCCTGGGGAGCTGTCCCAAGGCTTCATCCAGAGCCAGTAGGACCCTCATGGCCCTGGTTGGGAGCCCCTACCACTGGTTCTGTCTCAAGTGCGCTTAGGGGGTGGTGGAGGTAGGGGGACCTCAGACACGCCCCTCCCCATCTCTCCTTCCCGTGCCCCAAAGCCATTGCTTTGCCCGTGTGCCTTCTACATGTGTCAACTTGGAAATAAAATCCTAGCCTTTGTTATATACATTTGTATCATATGATGTGTCGATCTGAACTTGTGGCTGTCCCTGAATGGGAACTCCTGTTCTAAGCCCCCTGCTTGCACACGCTGGGGCCAAGTGTGCCTGTGTGTGCCTGTGTGTGTTAAGGATTTCAATGGTTGACATTTGGTGCAGAAAAGACTATTCTGGTTTATTTCTTGGATTTCATGATGGATAATTTTATTACCATCGAAATTCCAAACACTGATTCTTCTTGAGCTTTTGAAGTTCAGCCTAAATGTCTTTTGCTTGTTCTTTGTCTAAGGTAGGCAGGTGAGTCCCTTAGCTGTGGAACTGAGCTGTCACTTCCGAGGGGCCTCTGAGTACCACTAGGCTCCCTCATACACCTGGTCCCTTCGATCCCTCAGTGATGCTTCACTCTAACAAGAAAGCATTTGTAAATTTAAGGGCTTTGCCATAGAGCCTTCCTGAGTAGGAGAAATGATTCCTATAAGCCAGGTAAACTTGTAAGTGCTGTGAATCTTAACTTATTGTCTTAGATGTTTCCATCTTGAGCGTTATGTAATCAGGCATCAGGCCCACCCTTCTCAGTCGCTCATTTATACATTGTAAAGTGCTGTTACAAGGATGTCTGTCATTCCATTAGGCTGATTTGTCAAAGAAAACCAAATATTTTCAGATTATTTTTTTTTGGTCGCACCATGTGGCTTTTGGGATCTTAATTCCCCGATCAGGGATCGAACCCAGGCCCCCTGCAGTGGAAGCGTAGAGTCCTAACCACTGGACCGCCAGGGAATTCTGCTCCGCCCCCCCCCACACACACACTTATTTTTTAAATGCAAAACCACTACCACTAATGCTGTGGTTCAGGTTGTCTTGATCCATTCTACACTTGGTTCTAAGTCTTCCTGGGGTTAAAAAGATGTGCTTCTGGGAGTCTGGCAGTGTTTCCACCTACCTGGGCTTGCCTACATGTTAAGACAGACAGACTTCCTGTTACTTGAGGTGACTCTGGACCAGAGTCACCTGAGGATTTTTGTTGGTGCTGCTGTTGGCTCCCCCAAACCCCTGCTTTCTGTTGGCTGAAGCTGGGCTTCGGGACTCCAAAGGGGGCTGGTCTTACTGAAGCATGCCCAAGTCACCCTGTGAATTGAGTCACCCTCAATCATCTGCCCCAAGGAAGTCTGGAGCTCCCTCCAATCATCATGGGGTGGTGAGACCTGGACTGGGCGGAGATGAAACCCCTTGTCCACCTCCCCAGCAAAGATCTTTTGATTTGATGGAATCCCTAAGGTCTGTCAGTAGTTTTCCCACACTACTTGAGACATCTCTGAATCAATGGGACCCTAGGGCACGTTGCATCTTTCCTATTTCGGTTGTTAGAACGTTTTCCCACTCATATCCTCAGGGCCCTACAGCTCTTCCAGTTTTTATGTTTTTTGGCCACCCTGCACAGCATGTGGGATCTTAGTTCCCTGCCCAGGGATCCAACCCGTGCCACCTGCAGTGGAAGCACAGTCTTAACCATTGGACCGCCAGGGAAGTCCCTCTTTCAGGTATTTTAAACAACCACCGGCTGATTTTAGGCTGGCCATCCCGACTTTAGTGTTCCTTCCAGACGCAGTGGCTTGGGACGGGGCGAAGGGTGTGGGCTTACGTTCAGGACACGTTTCTGGGGCTGGGAGTGTCAAATACCATGGAAGGGCAGCAAGTGGATCTGCAATACAGATAATTCCATGGAGCAGCTGCCCTTCTAGCTTTGGAGGGGCTCCCGTGGGACGCCCATGCAGGATTTAGGGCCCACACGTGTGAGGGAAGAGCCTAGGGAGGGTGTTGTTTGTACATACTGGGGCAACCTGGAAGCTGCTAGAAGCTGTTTTCCCACCTAAAGAGGGCCCTCCCCTCAAGCCGACATTCTGAGGCATGACGATTGGCATGGCCGTTCTGAGCACACCCCAAGCCGGGCCCTCACTGCATTTGTCAGTGTGAAGCCCTGGGGAATGGGGATGTTGCTCTGTGGAAGGAGGGGAGCCCTAGTGTGCAGCCAGCGTCCCTTCCTGGGCCCACCACCCCGCACCCCCAGTGAGCAGCTTGCAGCAGGGCTGTTACAAAGGCGTTTAGTTTATTCTCCTCATCAGTATCACTGATATTCTCATGGTTCACATTTCCCAGTGCGGCTCCTCTTCTTACAGTAGTTAATGTGCAATCTCACTTATGGGCCCGGGGAGGAGGGGCTCGGCCCAGGGCAGGGAGGGTGTTGGCACTCCACGCGGACAGGGTGGGTGGTCTGTCCTGCGTGAAAGAGACGTGGGTGAATGGGCGGCCGGGGGAGGTGGTGGGGGGGCCCCCATAGTCTTTTTTGCGTTGGTCGGTGATCCTCCATTCTTGTTCCTTCCTGGCTGCCCCGGGGGGTGGTAGGGTGGGGGGTCCATGCAGCTCAGGGTAGGGCCAGGGAAAGGGAAAGCAGGGAAAGCAGCAGGCCGCCCAAGAGCAGGGAGGGCAGGGCGGGAGGGCGCAGGGGTGGCTCCTGGGGTAAGGCACAACCCTGTCTTTGGCTCTCCTGGTGAGGAGTTTCCTCCCCTGCGCCCCTGCCCAGCCCCTCTCCCCCGCCCCCTCCCCAGACCTATACACACAGTCCAGAGAGCCAGGGGCACCTCCTGGAGTCCCTGAAACAAGAGGGCTCTGCCACCCAAGCCAGTGCTGCAGGGGCTCGGAGGAGGGACGGGGCAAGCCCCACCCGAGGACAAGGCGAGGAGGGGCTGGACAGGGGCCTGCCCAGGACAAGGGGGTGGGGAGGGAGAAGACCCCAGTCCCAGAGAGCTGGCCCCCGCTGAGGCCTGGAAGGAGGGGAGCGCCTGGGGACTTCTGCTTCCTTTGGGGGTCTGGCTGGAGCCCCAGCCCACCCCTCAGCCTTGGTCGGCCAGGCAGCTTGCCAAGTGACCAGGATATTGTGCTTTGGGATCTACTCTGGGGTGGGGTGTCAAGGCCAGGATGAGGGGGCTCAGAAACCATAATGTTTATTCAACAACTTCTTTCCAGTCAGGACATAACTAGAGTGGATTAAGAAGTGTTCTTTCACTGGGCGAGAAAACGCCCTAGGGATGGCAGAGTGCAAGAGCAGAGGCTGGGTCCCTGAATGACTACACCCGCTAAGGCCTGGAAGGAGGGGAGCGCCTGGGGACTCCTGCTTCCTTTGGGGGTCTGGCTGGAGTTCCAGCCCACCCCTCGGCCTTGGTCGGCCCGGCAGCTTGCCAAGTGACCAGGATATTGTGCTTTGGGATCTACGCTGGGGTGGGGTGTCAAGGCCAGGATGAGGGGGCAGGGGAGGTGCGACTAAGGTGCTTGTGCTTTAGCTGGGGCTGTCGACTCCCCCCACGCACTCGGACCGGCTGAGGGCTAAGGTACTGGGGCTGGGCCAGGAAAGCAGAGCGCCAGGGCCCCGCTGGTCTGACCCCACCCCCACTCCCCCCCGCCCCCCGGGCCCCTGGCAGCAAGCAGATGTCAGGAAGGACCCACTCCCCGCAGGCTGGCAGGGGCTCCTGCGCGCGGTGGTGGGGGTGGGGGTGGGAGTGGGGGGCGGGCAGGCCTCCAGGTCAGATCCCAGTGGTCCAGCTGGCCACCACCCCACCTCCTGTAATCCCCTTGCCTTTGGGGAGAGAGAGAGGCTGCTGGGAGCAATGGGCTAGTCAGACTGCGGGGGAGACAGAGGCGGTGAGAACCAGGGCTAGAGACAAAAATGTGAAATTGCAAAGAAACGGACACCCAGCGTGTGTGGGGAGGGGTGCGGGGTGGGGGGGGAGAGTTAAAATAACAAAAAAGAACTCTCCGAGTTTACATGTAGAACTCAAAAAAAAACCCACAAAACCACTCGCGGAGCTAGGCCAAGGATAGAAAGAGAGGAATGGTAAAAGAAGATTCGGCAAACAATCTTTAACCATGAAGCAGACCCGGCCCTGCCAGGAGCTGGACTCAGCCAACTGGACAAACCAGGGACACCCTTGCAATGTAGCCCTTGGGGGGAGGCCCTGGGGTTGAGTGTGAGCCGGCCAGACTCACGGGAGCCCAGGCAGAGTGGGGCCTGGGGGGCCCCCCTCGGCAACGCGCGCCCCAACTCCACACACACACGCACATTCAGCCTGCCCCTGGCTCCCCACTCCATCCTGCCTTCCACAGCCCCGAGGACCGAAGGGGACATCAGACACGGTCCCGTTGGTTTGAAAAATAAAAGGAATCTTATACTTCAATATTTCATTAGCTAAAAAAATGTTTTAAAAAGTATGTACAGGGGGTGGGGGCTGGGAGCCCTGCCGTGGGGGGTGGGGGTGGGGGAAGGGAGGGAAAGGCAGCAGCTCCCCCCCAGCCTGCTCCCCTGGGTTCCACCCCTGGTCCTACTGCCTCTCACGTCTTCATCTGTTTAAAAGCAAAACTTCTACACACGCACGCGCGCACACACACACGCACACCCACACGCTTCTGCGAGCCCCGGAAACCTCTCCTATCCTCAGAGACCCTCGGTCTGCCCCCAAGGGCCCCCCTCTCAGGACTTGCCCCTCTCAGGCCCCAGGGGGCTGGCGGCGGCAAGAGAGGCTGAGCACAGGTGGGGGAAGAGAAGGGCGCTGGGCCTGCCACCGCCCGCCACCTTAGGTCGGTCATGGAGTTTCTCTGAGCCTCAGTTTCCTCAGCTGTAAAACGGGCAGTCCTCACGGCCTCGCCTACCCCAGCCCCCAGGCGCAGGGACAGACAAGGGAGACAGGAAGGCGCTTTTGGAAACGTGGAAGCACTGGGAGGTGGTGGCGGGAGGGGTCCTGAGAACCCGGGGCCCCTGTGAGTCCCAAGGGGCTGCAGTGGGGGGCGGAGGCTGAAGAATGCTCCGGCTAGGTGGCCCAGCGCCTGGGAAGGGGGTCTTCCCAAGCCCCCCAGGCCAGCCCCTCCCTGTGCCTGGCCTGGTGAGTGGGGAGACAGTTGCTAGGGGTTAGGAGAGGGGGAGCAAGAGCCCCCCAACTGTGCACAAGTGTGTGCTAG